CGAATTTAGTCTAATTATAATATTTCTGTATTATACTATAATATTTTCAACAATATCAAGAAAAGACTGTAACACAATACAAAATTAGGAAAAAATAGATAGATCATTGTGGGTATTTAAGGTATTAGGAAATAAAAAAGGTTATTAGAGAATTCTGTAGATATAAGGACTAATTAGGTAAAATATATTATAGATCTGTTTAAATTTTGATAATGGTTATCGATCAATAAAAAAAAATATAATTATAATATGATTTTTTAAAAGATAACAAGAGAGACTATTTTAATTATTTATTCTAGACCATTTGCTTTCATTTAAATAAATAATAATATCTCCTAAGAACGAATTAACCTAATTAATTATTGATATTGCATATATTCTCAATCCATCATAAATCTTTTGACATTAAAGATTTTCATATAATAATAGCATAATAACAATTTCTATTCTTACACTTAAAAAAAAAACTTAAAAAGAGAGACTTTTCTCTTGAATTCATCCTATTTCTATAACAAAAGATTAGGATATTACTATTTACTATCGTAACTATAGGATTTATAATCTTATTTTAATTTATTTTTAAATATTTGTATATTATAAATATCAATGGGTTAATTGACTTATCATCAAAATACTTAAATTAAAATTAATAAAAATATACTTATCAAATTTTAATCTTACTTATTTTTGATTTGAAACTAATTTATAAACATAACGTCGAGGAATCTAATGACTCTGTTTACGTCACATCTTTATAAGCAGCAATTACACGTAGGAATTTTTCTTCACGGTCAGCTGGCTGCTTGCCAGCTTTATTGAGATGCCTATAACGCCACAAATATTCCCGACCCTCATCATACTAATCAAGCAAAAACTCGATGGCGTTTCGTGCGAGTTATTGGGAGAAGAACATATATGACATGGGACGCGGGGGCGGGGGGGAGGAAGGTGGGAGTGTCAAGGGGCAGCTCTGGTGACGTTGAGGATTCTGACGCCGATGAGGAACAGCACAGTGACGGTGGGGACGAAGACGACGTTGGGGATGAGGTCGATGTGGAGCATCTTGAGCGGCGGCACCTTCTTCCCGGCCTTCTTGATGAGGATGGCGGCCGGGGGGGCGGTTACTCCGGTCAACATCATGGCACGGGAGCTCGTCTTGTACTCCTTCACCTGTTCTTTCATGAACTCCACAAGCAGTGCCTTCCTCTCGCTCTCCGTCCCTGGATCCGCCGACGCTTTCGGCCACTTCTCAAAGAATTTCTTCAGGCAAGAAGAAGAAGAGGAGGAGGTGAGGGATGCATACACAATCAAAGACTAATTAGTAGTGAAGTTAATGGAGGACTGATCAGCTCACCTGTATCTCAGTTGCTTGGATAGTAAAATGTTTACCAGGCATGACTAAATTGAAATCGCTGCATTACAACAAGAAGAAGAGGTAGAAGAAGAACACATAATGATCATAGCACAAAGGAGGAGATCAGGATCAAATATAAAGAAGTTTCACCTGCAAAGGTCAACAAAAGCAAGGTGAAAATCTTCATATTTCATTATGTTTTTTGGGCCGAAGTACTTCTTGTAGACCTGATCTGTGGATAAAGAGTCCACCCCAAGCAAGCCTGCAGAGAAAAGGATGATGTTAATGCAGGAAGAGTGATCAGAAGATATGATCTCATGTGAGAAGAGTGAAGGTGATCACCGAGCTTGCCGAGAACACTGATGGCAATGCCCATTATCTCTGAAACTGAGAGATCAAATACTTAAAAAGTTTGTGAGGACCGGAAAAGCAGGAGGCGATAGGAGGATTGTGGTGGGTGGGAGGCCATTTTATAGCATAGGATGAGGAGACGTTGGGAGGGTCACAAGGAGGAGGAGAGAAGAAGTTTGGAATGTGTACCTTTCCCTTTGATTGGTTTTGTTTCTGTGCGACTCTTCGATTCCTGACCTGATGCGGACGATACTAACAATGTGGCTGCACAACCTATAATAGAAACTGGACATGGTTGATGCAGAGGACTCCCAACTGATATGAGATGTGAAGATCCAACCAATCCTGTCTTTGCAAGCCAATCAAATGAATCATGTTAGATCAACTAGTCAGATCTTCGGTAAAGATACGAGTGATAACATGAGGATAGACATATTGAACGAATCAACTAATAAATAATAGGATTCCAAAGATCATGCAACTAATTAGCCATATTTTCTCACAGCGACTTGGGTGTTCAAATCACTTATCCTTTGTTCCAATAGAGTGAACAACAGTGGACGAGATTCACATTACAGTCATAAGAAGTTGCAGAAACAAATCATACATGAAGAAGCTCACATTCCCCAGACACCACGAGCAGCAGTAACTTTGTTTGGCCTCGACGTGAGCTCGTAGAGTAGACGAGAAAATGTATCAGAGTACCTCGCGTCTGACATCAGCATCTCGGCGAAGCTACTCTCGTGAGCCATTAGCAGATGCCGGTTTTGAGGATCGGAGACGAGGCTTTCCAGTATCATTGCGGCTTTTCTACAAACATCGGGCACAGGATGTGGAGTCTTGATTACCTTGAAGAGTCTATCGACCGCCCTGAAATTTGATTATAACACATTAGAAAGAAGATTAAAAAGGGCATCCAAGTGTTGCTGTATAAAATTTGGGCCAACCATCTTTCACTTGCAAGCTTCAGCCTGGAATCTGTATGCACTTCTGCAAGATTGTAGAGTGCCCCTACCGCTGCTGCTTGTGCATCCACGGCTGGTAAACTAAGAAGATCGACTAGTCTCTTGTAAATCTAAACACAAAAAGGAAAACCCATATTAACCACCATGATGATTATATATTTCCAATATAACTACAAGCTATACCAGCATTTAAGTATAAGTAGGTTGTCATGCATAGGTGGACTATACAACTGATCTTACAAGTACAATGGGATGAGGTCAAATACCTACGGTATAAGCAATATTACCTTTCAAAGGCCAACCTGATGTATACCAGCCGGTGGCGAAAACAGAGATATTGGTGATGTTAAATATTGGAATCAACACCAATATAGGTTATCTACAACCAAATTAGTAAAAAGCTACTGACCTCTGGAGTTGAAGGAAGAAGAAATGGCTCATTATCAGGATTTATTATGAGGCGTCCAAGCAATTCAGCAGCTGCACAATGCCATGCCTTCACCGAAGATCCAAGCATCCCCATGATGGCCTGAACTGCACGTTTCTCACTGCTTTCATGAAGTATTGTAATTTGCAGGTGCAAAACCATAGCCATAAGTGAATAAGAGGGATCAATTTACATGAAGTAAACTCACGTCATTCCAATATATGAAGGCTTAGACGAGCTAAATATACGGAGGTCCAAGAGTGGTGCTAAATTGGCAATTGTCTCTAGTGCATTCGTTATAAGCTCCTCGTCTTCTGTACGATCAAATTAAACAAGATAGCTTTACAACCCGGTGTTAGAAAAATAAGTAACTGAGCAATATTGATGCAGATTATCAATCCTGCCTATGTTTGACAACATCAGTTGCAGTGCCTGCGACAGTCATTCCGCATTCTATAATCAGCACGCTCATCAGTGATAATTACTAGAGCCTAAAATCCTAGTATGACTAGTTTCAGGAAACTCAGATTGAGAGCTGATGGAAGTGCAAAACTATGCGATTACAACATTCACCTGCACCAATGTACCTCATAATGTCCTTAGTTGGCAGTAATTCTATGAAAGGGGAGTTCCTGAAGCCTATTCACTTGACCATTCTGTATCATACAACTTTCTAATTGCAAGTGTCCCAGCATTTGGATCATCAAAGGTCCTCCCAATCAATATGTGATTGGATATACAATAAGTATAGAAGGCTCAATAGATGATTCAACAGAACTTATGATTGACTGTCTACTTCACATATAACCTATTAATCTAGCACCAAGTTCCTGATGCAGTTATATTTAGGCAGGAGAGATTGCCTTGAAAGCTAAACAGTATCTCTGGGTAAGAAGAGTTACCTTATGGATTAAGTTTACCTTACAAAATCATAAAACAATCAACAAATTCACCCTTAGATATGAAAAGTAGTTTCAGAGAAAGAGGGGAGTTGCAACTTGTGGGGTAAGCTATAGTTAATAGGAAACAAAAAGTGTAGCCCACGAGACCAAGATCAACAATATCACATAAAAGACAGATTTACCATATAGTATATTGTCGACTAAAGCAGCAAGCTTTATTGTCAACTTTGTAGTGACACGGTAAGCTAAGACTGCTATAACAACAATCATAAAGCTTGTCTACAGCAATCCGCTATAACAAACCAAATTGCAGTAGAAAGTAGAAACCACCAAAAAGCTAGGCTATGGCGTACCTTCAAGGCTGCATTTTGGATGTGACTTTGTCAGTAGTTAAATCTTTGGACCACGAAAGGAGACGAATGGCTTGTCATGATCTAACCTAATGTATAACTGATAAGACCAAAATCACATGACTGAAAATGCCGAAGTCCAGGTTAATAGTAGTAATACCATCAAACCTTATATGCAATATTATAATCACGTTCATCCTCCCACTTATGATGTGTAACTAAATCAGAATGTTATAACCTTCCTCATTTAAGACCTCATGACATCATCAAAGCCCAAGAGTCAACATTTAATATAGATAACATATGTGGCCCAACCTTGTGGTGTCATATCATGATGTGTCACTCATCCACGAGTAGATCACCTTTTTACTTGGGCCCCTCACCATATGAAATACTACTAATGCTTCAATACCAATTGTCACAACAAGACCTAACGGAGAAACTTACCTATTAACTTAATAGGCTTAAAACCGCATGACTTAAAATGCTTAAGCCCATGATTGACTCATCTAGCTCTATATTCAATCACATTCATCCTCCCACATCCAATGTGGGACCATTGAAGTGTGAATCGGCTGGCTGTTAAATTATTTCTTCTAAAAAACTTAAGTTCCAGAGACTTATACAACGATATCAGTATTTCATTTATCTAGTTTCTTTCTTAATATTTGAGAATATCAGCTATTATTTCCTATTTTCCCCCTAAACTCCAGTTTAATTTTGTGTATTCAAGAAAATATTATTAATGAACTTTGAAAATGATATTTTTTTATGTCGTTCAGACTGTTGATAGCTTTGCTATTTGCCATAATGTTTTAATGTACATCAACCACTGTTATTTGCCTATGCCTAGTGGGTTCACCTCATGGGAAAGCTCCTTCTTTGCTATTTGGTCAGTTGTGTACATTTGACCCTTATACTGCACAATGACAAAAAGCCCAGTGCATCCACAATGGCAAGAATCCCAGTGCACCTTGGGCTCTGTATTCAACCACAACAAAATATTAGCATCAAGACATGCACAAAGAAAAGAGGGATGTATCAATAGCAAAATCAACAAACTTGAGACCGTATATGAGTACAGCAAGTATGTGTCCCTTTAGAAGGGTAAATGGACTAATATTGTTAAAATAAAGTGTCAAAAGACAACAAAAATACAAAGTATGACAGAGTTCTGTACCTGTGTTCTGATCCTCTATGCACTGGAACATAGTTTCCATGCAATGCCTGTGCTGTGCCATTATCGTTTCATTATCAGGCATGAAAGAGAAGTTCCTAATGACATTAGAAGCAGCAACTGCACACTGTTGTTTTTCTGCGTGAGCTTCTTCATCCAGATTAAATAAGCCATCATCTTCAAACCACCAGTCTATTGACCGATGCCTTTTCCCACTGGAAACCTCCATATTAGATGATTTTTTACGACTGCAAAAAAAAAAAAAAAATCCAACCTAAACCTTCATAGTATAAAGGTATATAAGGATGTCTAGAAATGAGAAGTTGGCCATGAAAAGGTCATTCTAACACACCCGGGGTAGGAGGTGGTGTCAAGACTGGTTGTCAATTCATTCCCAAAGCCTGTCACCGCTAAATTTGCTCCCAGTGTTCTCACCCGTGCAGGCTTTGTATAGTCTCGAGGAAGAGCAATGTCACGCCAGTCATCAACCTTGCATACAAAGACGACATAATTTAATGCGAGAGAGAGAGAGTACTAAAAGGGTAAGATTTCAGAATGAAACAAAAGCTACATATAAACCAAGGATTGAAATTTTGTATCGTCCGGAGTTTCAAGACTCGCTCGGTATGGTACGATACTGTATACCGAGTGGTACAATTCAGTATACCGCTCAGTATATATAAAAGAAAAAAAAAACTGACGGCCTCATCACCCTTTTGTGTGTGTGTGTGTGTGTGTGTGTGTGTGTGTGTGTGTGTGTATATATATATAATCGTTTTCGCCGAGGCGACATCTTCTCTTTTCTGCCCGCGACATTGCCTCTCTTCTCCCCGTGCCGAGAGAAGGCCGACAAACAAGGAGGGAGAGCGGCATCGATCTCCAGGTTCTCCTCTTCTTCTTCCTTTTCTTTCTTCCCTTGCTTAATACCACCTTCTCCCCTTCTTTCTTCTCCCTGATCACCGTCCGAGACGGAAACGGCCCCAATCGACGGTACCACTCGATATGAACGATATTATTCAAAATTAAAATCCTTGATATAAACCTAATTGTCTTGAAAATTTTCATGAATACTTGAGTTGTGATCAATATGCTTAAAGGAGTAGTCAACCAATACAAAACTTGAAGACCACAAGCATGTTCAAGCTGGCGACATTTATTGGTGAATTAAAACAGATGAAGAAAGTAGCTAAAAATTGAAATGGCAAAGCATCAATTTAGAAAGGACAGCTAGTACTCTAAGATTTCCTACTAAATGTCATGAGGACCAATAGTTTGAGAGCGAACCATGCAGTAAACTACCTCATGGGAATTCAAAGATTTTAAAACATTATATAAAATAAATTAACAAACAAACAAAAAAGATAATATCACCCACAATTTGAAGGAGAGCATCCAGCAGTCCAGGTATCTTAGCAAGCGCTGTTGAGTCTCTACGTAGGTCATCCCTTTCTTTGAAAGAAAGCAGGGTGAGTGTGTTCAATGCCCATGTTAGTTCACTCTTCAATCCACTTTGCAATGCTAAGACAATTCTTCTATTGTTTTGATCTGTAAAACTTTAGTCAGTAAAATAACCAAGAAACCGAAACATACATACATTTACCATCGAATTAACATAAAATAAGCTCCTATCTGTGGAACAATCATTTCATACAACAGTACTGGTTGATGAAAGGACAACAGACAAGACAACATGAACAAGAAAAGGAAAAACAGTTCCAGTTGACTCACTGGTGGTTTATAACTTTTATGTTAATATCATTCTTTTTGTCTAATTGAAAGAAATTTTCATTACATCAAATATAGTACACAACACTCATACATAGATTCGAACCTGAGACCTATCACTTATGCAACAATGTACTAATCAATCTGTCTCAATAGATACATATGAATATCATTCTTAGTGATGAACTTGTCATTAAGATACTAGCCATTATGCTTAACCATTGGGTTACCATGGCATGACTATAGAACCAAACCTCTTTTAAGTCTTTTTCTTGATGGTATACTCTGCAATGCAAAGTGTGTGAGTGTTGGAAAAGAGCCATGTACAATATTGCCGAATGAAACTAAGGACTTAAGTGTCTTTATGCAGGTTAAACGTCCGCCAGCGGCTACCACAATCAATCCCAAAGATATCCCCCTTTTAGACCCAAATACAGATGGGTACACCACGAGGGGCTGGCCATGTCGGAGGGCCCTTAGACCAGTTCATCACAACAACGTGCGAGAGAAAATGAGTCCCATGGAAGAACAGGTCTTCCATGGAGCCTCGACAAGCACCAGCTTGGTGGCTTCAATGTTCTACTGAAATACCATCTTGTAGTTCACCTGTTGTAGAGTGATTCAAGAAAGAAACATCCTCACAAGTGATTCAAGATTCTAAGAAGAAAGGAAAGGAAGGGGAAGGGAGACGAAGAGGAGAGAGGATATAGGCGGATAACCGGCCAAGGAGGTCGTGATCTGAAGCGAAGGGCCAAGGAGAGACGCCGGGGAGGAGGCGTCGCCTGCGGCAGCGGCAGCAGCCGAGGTGGCGGCGGCGGCCGCAGTGCTGCCGAACGGGCGACCGCGCTTGGCGGGCGTCGTGAAGGAGCCGCCGGACTTGCCGGCTTCCCTCTTCTGCATCTCAAGTCGCCTTCCCTCCCTCGCAACAACCCACCGGCCGAGGATGCTAATGGTACCCTTGCTGGCCATCCGAGTCCGTTATGCTCGACCAAGCGGATCAAAGTGGGGTTATTTGGATAGACCCGATCCGACACATTAGCGGGTCTAGATTTCTTGACCCGCATCCGTTCCGTTTCGTTACTGAGCCGTGTGGCCCAACAGATCAAATCGGGCTACGTCAGGTCGAGTCATGTTGGCTCGATACGTGAAGTCATTGTGAACTCAGCATCACAATGATCGACAATAGAGAAACAGATTGAAGCGAGAACGGATTCCAATTATTATCTTTCTTTTTCTCCCCTTTAATTTTGGAATCTACAAGTGGAGCACGAATATTGGAAAGATGAGCATCAAATAAGAGTGTCTGCGATGGAATAGTATATGTTCCTCTTGTTCTTCTCGACTTGGTGACAATTTCGATTTATGAGATGCTTAAGGACTGCTTTTATTGTTCTCCTCTATGATTTGGTCTATCATTGAGATTGGATGTGTATCTCCTTTTCCATTTACTTGTGGAAAGGAGAATGAAGTTTAGGTATCTTAGATATAACATTATTATGATATAACATTAAAGAATGATTTTGATTTATGACTTTGATTTTGTACATAATTAAACTCACAATCTCAAATCTTTAACTTTGATTTTCATTAGCACTTCCCCATTTATCACTGTCTCTTGTTATATTATAAAAGTCCTCAGGTATATCGTTATTTAAAAGTTAATTATTTTTAATCTAATCGGACTCTATTTCATTTCGATATTAAATTGAACCATTCGAACCCTATTCTAATTTAAATATTAGATGAGCTTTATCGAATATACCCCTAATATATATTTGTAAAAGACATATGGTTATATTCGAATCACCTTTTACATTGGACAATCAAAATATAACATAACATATGAAAATAAAATATTGTCCATCTTCTATCAACATTAAAATCTCAAACATTTCATAAAATTTTTATAATCAATTTTAAGCTTAAAAAATTCTAATATAAAACTAAAATTCACTTAAATATTGTAATTAAAGAAGCTCTGGAAATTTAAATCCTATATTTTTCATATGGTTGAATTGTATCTTTGGAAATCACAAAAAGAATACCATATAGCGTTTGAATATAAATAACAATAAATAAAACATCCATAATAACTTGCATACTTGAACATTTCATGTGTTAATCCCCAAAAGTATTAATCTAGTATACAACATAGAGAGGGATTAAAAGTGTTTATCTACTCTGATTCCATGATGGATATTTCGATTAAAGTGTTCATTAGTTCAAAACATACATTGAATTCTAACATTCCTCACCACATAAAGAAACCACATGAAGTATCACTTTGATAGGGATTACTTTTCATCATGTTTCCTAATATGCTCTATAGCACCATTTTGTTCCACTTCCACTTTCAACAGCTATGAGTAGCAACTAAAAAAGGTCTCTTATTTCTTCTCTTTCTGTTCTTTTCCAACTAAACATAGGCCTTAATTTACATTTCCTTTCAAACTCTTTCAATCCAAATATGATAAATCACTTTCATTAAATATTAATCAGAATTTTTTTATTTTTGATAAAGGGATAATTTGATCGATCGACGATACGGTCTGTAGGTCTGTACATTGGAGCTCACATATTCTAAAAAATATAAGATAGTACGGATATGTTCATTATTCAAAACGCATAATTTCTTATGAGTCTACGGATCGTACAAATGATTCTTTATTAATTTTGATGTATTGTACATGATTCGATCTTTAGACAACTAAGGAGAGTCTGATGTGACCATTGCGTCTTCGTTGGCTGAGATAGAAGACAAAGAGGTACATGAGCTGCACGTGACGCCTTCACTTCATCTGCTACCTGCGTTGACATCTACCTTCCTCGAAGCCATGGCGTTGGAGGTCGCCGGAGAGTGCCAAACCTACAACGGAAGGATCACGTCCTTTGTCATCCTCTCATGCGCCGTCGCGGCCACCGGAGGACTCCTCTTCGGCTACGACGTTGGAATCTCTGGTCCTTCTCTTCCACTCATGACTTCTTCTTCTTCGTCGTCGTCGTCAAGCGGATCGGATCTCATGGTGTCTTGGGTGATATGTAGGTGGGGTGACTTCCATGGAGCCGTTCCTGGAGAAGTTCTTCCCGGACGTGTACGCCGATATGAAGGACTCCAACACCAGCAACTACTGCTTGTTCGACAGCCAGCTCCTGACCGCTTTCACGTCCTCCTTGTACATCGCCGGCCTCTTCGCTTCCTTGTGTGCGTCGAAGGTCACGCAGGCCTTCGGTCGCCGGGCGTCCATGCTCCTCGGCGGCGCCGCCTTCATCGTGGGTGCTGCTCTTGGCGGCCTCGCGGTTAACGTTTTCATGCTCATCTTAGGCCGCGTCCTCCTCGGCGTCGGCGTCGGTTTCACCAATCAGGCATACTTTACTGGCTCCGTACTTCCTCCTCTGCTTCTTGGGCTTCTCTTCCCTCCTTTACTTGCTGTTCTTCGTGCAGTCTGCTCCTCTGTATCTATCGGAAATGGCTCCACCAGAACACCGAGGAGCAATCAACAATGGATTCGACTTCTTCGTCGGACTCGGAATACTGTCGGCCAACTTGATCAACTATGGAACTCAAAAGATCCATTCTGACTTGGGATGGCGAATCTCTATAGGGTTCGCTATATTTCCAGCCACAATCATGGCATTCGGCACTCTGTTCCTTCCGGAGACTCCCAGCAGCATCATCCAACGCACCAACTCTCTCCAAAAGGCCACGGAGATGCTTCGGAAAATACGAGGCACGGATGACGTCCACGCCGAGCTCGACGACATGATCGCTGCAGGCAACGTGTCGAAGGCGGCACGACGCCCTCTGCTCACCATCATGCAGCGCAAGTACAGACCCCATCTCCTCATTGCAATCTTGATCCCTTTCTTCAAGCAGATGACGGGCATCACGGCGATCACATTCTACTCCCCGCTCATCTTCCGGACCGTCGGCCTCGGAGAGAGCTCCTCGCTCCTCTCCACCGTCATCTCTGGGGTCATCAACGTGGGATCCGTCGTCGTGGCCATGATCATAGTCGACAGGGTGGGCCGGCGCAAGCTGTTCATCGTCGGAGGAGTTCTCATGTTCGTGACGCATCTCATGGTCGGAGGGGTGTTGGCGGCGCAGCTCGGGGATCATGGAGGGATAAGCAAAGGCTACGCGTACATGATCTTGGTGTTGATATGTGTGTTCACTGCAGGCTTTGCGTCGTCTTGGGGGCCATTGGGATGGCTGGTCCCGAGCGAGATACTTCCACTGGAGATCAGATCGGTAGGACAAAGCATGGGTATAGCAGTGGCCCTCTTGTTGGTCTCCATCGTTGGCCAAACCTTACTTTCCATGCTTTGCCATTTCAAGTCCGGTGTGTTCTTTTTCTTCGGAGGATGGGTTTTGATCATGACAGTGTTTGTCATATTGCTCTTACCCGAAACGAAGGGTCTTCCTATCGAGAAGATGGATCAGATCTGGAGAGAGCATTGGTTTTGGAAGAAGGTTGAGGGAGTGGAGAAGGAAGGCTCGGCTCCAAGTGCAGGAAGAGACTGACACCGAACTCTGTAGCAGCGAAACCAATAGCTGCGTCAATTGCCGTCTTCATGTAATTGACTTGAACTCGAAAGCCACTCCACTGTACTCGCACTTTCTGTCGTTTTGTATCTTGATCCAATCCAATTACGAGCTAAGCCGAGTCAATTCGGTCCGTCCAATTTGGTGGGGTCAGGTGTGAGGGGTGGGCCCCCAAAATGAGGTGTAGGTGGCCCACGTGTGTATCGTGTACATAAGCGAACGAATCTCGAATGAGACGCGAGGGAAGAGCGGTAACCGAAGAGGCGGATGGGGAGACGCCATGGCCGTGATGCGAGTGATCTCCATGGCGGCAGTAGCGGCACCAACGATGATGCTACCGCCAGCAAGCTGTGCGTATTGTACCCCTGACCCTCTCCCTCTCTCTTTCTCTCTCTACGAAATTGCATGGAACAAGAAAACCCTGGTGATATACAGTTCATCGGTTCATCGATGGGGGTTTGCTTGCTTGATCCTAGTGCTTCTAATCATGGTGTTTTCAGTTCTTTGTCTGATCGATTCATCAAGATCGCTGGTCTTCTTGTCTTCGTTGTTGAAGAAACCGCGATCTACCGTTGTATTTGTGGGGGTCTCCATGACTGCGATGAGACATTAGAGAAGGGAAAAAGGGGCTTATCTCATGATTGAATTCACCCTAGGTTTACAAACTGGCCTTGGTGAGGCAAACATAGCTGTAGAAATAGCAACTAGTATATCCATGGCAATGTGAGGAGGGAGATGGTATATCCATGATTTTAATCTGCATAAATGCAAATTACATAGGTAATGCCCGATTTGTAGTTGCCATCGTTTCGAATCCGATATCTAGCTTACTGGAAAAAGAAGTTGTACGTGATTACTGAAATCGAGTTCGCTGGAACTAATCACTTGTCAATGCTCACACAGGTCCTTAGTTAAAACAAGGCAATGTGAAGAATGGATACGGGAACTTATTTGTTAGAAGACCTGTGAGGAGAGCTGCCACCAGAAAGAATTTAGTTCTGTTATTTTTAGGGGAAAAATTGATAGACTTACTATAAGCCACTGCAAATGGCATTTGAAGGATATCATGCTTGTTGGGCTGCTCTTAGGAAGAAGCTTCTTGTTTGGTTGTCTAAATCTGAGAGTAGGACAAAAGACAAAAGACAGAGAAGGAACAGATACATTTTGTTGGTGCTGGCTCTGGTACAACCCATTTTCAGTTGCTAGAATGTGATACTATTTATTTGTTTTCCCTGAACCGATTGATTACATCTATCTTCATGAGCACAATTCCACTTTTACTCGACATCAAGGAAAATATTCTTGTTCTTTATGTGAAGGAATCAGGTGTCATTGTTTTATTCATGCATTATTGAACTAGCGGCACAACACATTTCAAATTTAGTATGTCGGAATTCTCAACCTTGTCATTTGGACTCTGCTTTCTCGGTCGATGCGTCAGCCATGTCTTTATTTATGATTTTGGGTTGATTTTATTTCATTTACCTTTTATGGGATGAAGTGATCACACATTATCTGTATGTGGAGCTGGTAATTCATTTTTTGTGTCACGCTGTCACTGAATTGGATAAAGGATGTCTAGCTATTGACAGCAAAAGGAGTAGTATTATCTCAACGGTTTCATTTAGCACTTCTCATTTAATATTATTTTCTGCTAGTATTGATCATCTTATCAGCATGCTGGTTGAAAACTAGATAAAGATTGTTTGGTTTCTGTGGTCATGTTTCAGGTCACTTAGTCAGAACGCAGCTATGACAAATCATTACAATCAACCAGAGCACAGAGTTGAACGTGAGGCTTTTATTTCCAAAGGTAAATTACCTCAAATGAGCAGCTAAACCAAGTACCATATCTTTCTGTTTTTCAACATTGTTCCTTTATTAGCTGTAGTTCCCTTTTATTCATCAAATTTGTAACATCATCTGAGAAGATATTAAAATTCATCCATATGCTTGACTTTCACTTGAGTTGTAACTGTTCAACATATACAAAAAGTTTATTGTAAAGCAGAAATCTGCAAACTACTTACTCTGTAGGAGGCTGTGGGAGGGTATAAATGAAGAATCAAAGGCAAGGGAGTTTATTACTAGGCACTCGAAAAATTTAGTAATTGTATCAGCTTTGTCATTTTTATTGGAGAGGTGGAATGTGTACAATACACACAGTGATCCTTGAATGGGCCTAACCATTTGCTCTTCAGGTGGGATCCACTTGAGGTTCAATTTTTCATTTTACACACAAAAGATAACATACATATATGGGTTAATAGAAGCACATAAAATCATTCACTCAAACTAATGTAAACTAATGAATATTTTCAGTGGCAAACTTTTACATGTCCAAAAACCCTTGTGTGGCTGATTATGCACCGATGGAGAGTAAAATTTAGGCTAGCAATACTACTGCTTGTGATTTCTCGGTGGTAGGTAAAGTGATAATATGAGTTATGCCGTTAAGAGAATAATAAGATTAGACCACTGAGTGACAAATACTTGCAAAGTGTACTGTATAATCAAAATTTCAACATGTACAAATTACATGTGAGTAAACAAATTTATAGTAGTGTCTTAACAAGGAACGACTAAAAGTTTCACATGCTCATAAAACTGAATTAAAGCAATCCACAGTGATAATGCACCATATACAGATTATTTCTGATATTTCTTTTAAATTGCACACACACATGCTCTATATTATTTATATAGATAGGTCCTTTTTCATATATTTTTATGTTCTTGGATATTCTTTATATATTTGAAATCAATTAGCATGTACATTAATTGCTTGGTTTTTTTCAGATCCATCCCGATGATGCTTGTGGACAGCAAATAATAAAAAAAAATCTCGAGGTAGAACATCTTTTCTTTCTAATTTTCTGATTTTTAACTTTGTTGTGTGCTGCTTATCTTATGTGAAAATTGCATGATTTGGTCACAGTTTAGTTATTCATTGGAGTTTCAGACTGTAGTTTGCATAGTTCTATCTGCATATACCTCCTACTGCAATATATCCCATTAAGGTGGTGTTTCAAGATGCTGTGTGCATAATTGAAACGAGATCCATTACGGTCTTAAAGAGTAATATCCATCTTGGTTAACCCAAAACAGACCATCTGTGTCAAATTATGCCTCTTAGTTACTCCTTGTGTCTTCTAAACTGAGTTCATGTGGTTGGAGAAATGCATAGAGTCAGTTTTCTCTCAGGTTTCTGGGAGATTCAAATTTGCATTGGATTCATTTCAATTAAATTGACTTATAATCTAGTTTGAAACCAACGAATTCAACTTTGATTTCTTTGATCACTAAAACGATAGTCAATCAGACTGACAGTCAATAGTATTTTTTTTCTAGTAAAAAATAGGTGACAAAGTTGAAATTTGATTTCATGACTTTAACCATTACAGTCAAAAACCTAAATCTACCGTAAGCGAGTATGCCTAATATTTTTGTATAAAATTCACAGGATGAGGTTAACCTTTCTTGTTATTAGATTAAACATTAATCGACTGGAATTCATTGGAATCTATATCTATTAATAAAAAAGAAAAATCCTATTGTGCTGTAATTATGAACTTGGAACAGATTATGTTTTCTTGTCTCGAGCTCATTATCATATCTTGTTAACAACCTCATAAATGCTATCTTTTAGCTTGGGTTAGTAGCATTCATGGAAAGCCGGAGGAGATATTGTGGTAGCATTGCGAGCTTTCAATTGCCATAGTTTTACACCAGGGAGACCCCCGTGCTAGTCTTATTGTTCCAGTCCACCGACGTTGAGTTGATCAAAAGACTTCTTCAACTGCGTTGGCAAATCCACACAAGAAAAACTCGTCAAAACGTGGAACGGTGTGATGCTGAAAGAGAACACGGACGAGTTCGTCATCGCATAGCTGTTTGTCGATGACATCTCAACTCGCCATTACCCACCATATCATCGTAGATTTGGACGGGACTTTGTATTCCAATGACTTCATCCATATAATGACTATTTCTTGCGTTGGAAACTGCACTTCATGGACTGGTGGAGAGTTTATAACGTCTTTGTTACAGCTGGTGCCTAACGAGAGCTGTTGGGAAACCCAGATAATTCCAGTATCCCGTCGGCAGGACACGAGTCGGTCACCTTGACACCACCTGTCGCTTCGCCTTCCTGAGCCTTTCTACTTCCATCTGAAGGCTAAACGATGAGGTTGTGTTGCGTTACTTTGAATCTTTAACCTTCAACTCTTTTGATATCTACACTATTTTGGTAGGTTGCATCAAACAAACCAAACCATTGAATACAGATACACTGGTGTGAGATGAGTAAAAGTATGATGCATTACAAATGATGGTCAATGTTGTAGGTGAAAGTTGGTCGTCGTTTTTGTGTGTTTCAACTGCATGCAATATGATGGCTCTCGTATGAACAGAAGGACCCAAGGCCCTTTTGACTTTTTTTAACGTCGTTACGGTGATGTCAGCTCTGACGGATAGAGGGAATTGTCAAACCCGAAGCCGCAGACTGTCGTTCGTTCACAGCAGCACCAAGTGACCTTTCACCGACGGGATGCATGCGTCGTTCTCCCCGCGTCTCACAAATCTATGAACTCCTCGGCCATTATGACACCACAAAAAAAGCTGTGATGTTTTGATTGACAAAGCGAAGGAACATAGCTGTGTCATCTTTCTTTGTCGGCGAATTGTCTCAACGGGGTGGTCTCTTTCATGGAAAATATGGCACCCCAGTTCTCTCTCCCTCTCTCTCTCCATAGTGAAGAGGATCCTCCATTGTTGTGCCTTGAGTGGATTAGTTGATTGAATAAGTGCAGAAAATTTGGTACGAGCGCATGGACGACTTGAATTATCAGTACCGACGTCGGGTGGTCGTTGACCGATTAAAAGTCAAACAACTAAAGCAAAATGGAATTGCAGATCATCTGAGTACCGTCGAAGAAAGCCTACCGGTTCCCGTTTTCCTATGTTGAAAGAGAGGGCACAGAAAAGCCTTCTCAACTCCTTGTTTACCAGTGTAGCATTCCAAGCAGCCATGTCTTTTTATATGCAACCAACCAAGAACCGCACGGACGCTCACTCCGTGTTCTTCTCCCCGCCTTCTCTTCTCTCTCGCATCGTCGCCTCCCTTCCTCGACCCATGTCACTCGGCTCCGCTCCTGCGGCTCCACCTCGTCACGTGTCGCCGGTACGGAACGCCTTCCATCGGCGGCGACCCCGCTCTCCTCTCGCTCCCCTCATCACTCGCCCCCGCGCCGCTACCCCCTTCAAGAAAGCCGTTGCCGCCGCTGGAGTACATGCCGACGGTAGCGCTGCTGCTTCTTCTTCTCCTCCTGCTGCTGTTATATCCACCAGAAACCACCTCTCCAACCTCGAGCGCCTCCTACAGAAGAAGCAAGCGCCTCCCCCGCCCCACCTAGTCGAGGAAGAACCGGAACCCCGCCGCCACTCGCCCTCTTCGTCAATACACCAGACCCGCGGCCGCCTCCTCAATGTCCTCAACCTCTCCTCTGCTGCCTTCCTCAACTCCTCTGACAAGAAGACCGAAGAGATGTCCCCGCGCAGCCTCACCCGCCTTCACCGGCTGCTCTCCGACTCCACCCGCCCCTCCCCTCGCGGCACCATCGGCCCACGTTGGCGCCAGTACCACGGCGCCGCCAACTGGGACGGCCTTCTCGAACCCCTCGACGTCCACCTCCGCCGGGAGCTTGTTCGATATGGTGAGCTCGTCCAGGCCACCTACCATGCCTTCCACTCCAACCTTATCGCCGCCCCGCCAGACCGCCCACGCCCCGTCGTCCTCCCTGACTGGTCCTACCGCGTTACTCGCAACCTGTTCGCAACCGCCTCCGTGGAGCTCCCCTCGTGGGTTCAAACCGTCGCCCCGTGGATGATGGCCGCCCAACGCACCAGCTGGATCGGCTACGTCGCTGTCTGTGACAACGAGCGGGAGATACAGCGGATGGGGCGCCGCGACATCGTCATCGCCCTTCGCGGCACCTCCACCTGCCTGGAGTGGGCTGAGAACCTCCGCACCGGGCTTGTCCCGGTCGATGACGACGGCGAGGACGTCACGGACCCGCAAGGGGACGTGCCGAAGGTTGAATGCGGGTTCCGGAGCCTCTACAAGACAGCTGGCCCCGACATGCCGAGCCTGTCGTCGTCAGTGGTGGCGGAGGTGAGGAAGCTGACCGAGAAGTACGCAGGGGAGGAGATAAGCATCACGGTAGTGGGCCACAGCCTGGGCGCGGCGCTGGCGGTGCTGATCGCGGACGAGCTGGCGGCGCGCGCGCCTCCGCACGTGCCGACGGCGGTGTTCTCCTTCGGCAGCCCGCGCGTGGGGAACCAGGCGTTCGCGGCCCGGGTGGAACGGCGGGGGGTGAAGGTGCTGCGGGTGGTGAACGCACGCGACCTGGTGACGCACGTGCCGATGGTGCTGCCGTCGCGCACCGGCGGGTACGCGCACGTGGGGCGGGAGCTCCTGGTGGACTGCCGCATGTCCCCCTACCTGCGGCCGGACGCCGACCCCGCCTGCTGCCACGACCTGGAGGCCTATCTCCACCTGGTGGACGGCTTCATGGCCACCAACAGCCCTTTCCGCTCGGACGCCAAGCGCGGCCTCGCCCGCCTGCTCACCCAACAGAGCTCCAACTTGAAGAAGCTGTACGTGAGCAAGGCCCGAGCCATTCAGGTGCAGTCCACCCCGGGCTTTCCCCGGCGCCACTGCGGTCACACGTTACCTTCAACTCTGTCTATAGAAAACCTGGAAGTACAATGATCGACAACTATATATATCCGAACCATCAATTGTACCATACAAACAGTTCCAATTCTTTTGACTAGCGAAGGTGATTTCTGCATTCACCTGATAATAACATTGTCCGATGGGATTACCTGTTCATGGACAAGCTTGCTTAACAATGCAATTTCAAATTCCCAACTAGATATTTGAAGGGGATTATTATCATTACAAAGACCGATAACTATTGAACATCTGGAGACGGTGTTCCTCCAGGGCATAGCGTCGAACACTTGGAGGGCAGAGCGGACGTCCGCAACTGCGGAGGCGGGCCTGTAGAAGATATGGCGGGCCTTCTCGATGAAAGCTAGTATTTTACTGACACGCAACGGTTTATTTTACTCGAGCCTGGTACCAAACCGGTCCAAAACGAGAGAAGATTAGGGTTGTTAATTGTCGGCCCGGTTCGACCCAAGTACATATAGCTTCTCTGACCACTAAATCTTGACTCAATCGATCGGTTTCGACCTAAAAATTGAGAACCGGATTCTTGACCGGTTTAATTAATCGATTCGACCGGATCCCAAAGATGACGTCACTCAACTTTATGTAACACATCGAGGGGGGCCAATTTAATATGGGCCTATAAACCTGTCTTAGTTGGGCCTATTGGCCCACGAAAAGGTACTCAAAACCCTCTCGTCGCACGCTCTCCTTCGTCGGTTGGGAATGGCGCACGCCCGTTGCTGCCGATCCGCCGCCTTCCGCCGCCTCCTCGGTTCGCAGCCACCGTCTTCGCGCGATGGCGTCACCAACCCGCTCTTGTTCGCAGCACAGGGCCTTCGCTACCGCAAGCTTGAGGTCATCCTCACCACGGTACGGCCCCAGGTCTTTATTCGATGAAGCCTAAATCTCTTCCTTCTCTTCTCTCACTCTGTGTGCGCGTTCGTGCGTGTTTCTTGGGGTCGTCAGACGATCGACAAGTTGGGGAAACGGGGGGAGACGGTGAAGGTGGCGCCGGGGCATTTCCGCAACCACCTGATGCCCAAGCTGCTCGCGGTCCCCAACATCGAGAAGTACGCCTTCCTCATGCGGGAGCAACGCGAGGTTGGGACCCTTCTTACCCTGCAGTTCTGGCAGGATGTTAATTACTTTTGATTGCTAGATCAGTGCAATTATATGCTCAGTAATTTCCTGATGTGGGAGTGGAAAGAGGTCGGGGAGGAACTTCTTAGTTTACTTGTAGTATCCGGGTTGGGCGTGTCGTAAGCGTAAGATCACAAATGTTGTTTGAGTTTATCGCCATGGTTTCTTCCTTTTGCGGTCTTAGCCGATGTCAGGCTTATTGAATCTGACACATTAAGTTTGCCTGTTTGTATCTTTGTAAGTCCTTCCATTAAGATCATGTGATTTTGTGTTTTCCTGTAAATTACAGTGTATTCTGGTTTTGAATTGTTGCCTTGTCTCCATCTTCACGCAAACCTGTCACCAAGAAAATAAGAATGCAACTGACCCTGTTAGATTTCTCTTGTATGCTACATTGTTTATAATAGCTTTACCAACGAGGAGTGGAAGCTGCAAAAGAAGCTCCTATGATCAAGGAAGATAAAGGGCAAGACGAGACATCTGGGAGGGCTCTTGATGATTCTGGAGGGGTGAGTTGTGAGATGTTCTCTTACTTTTCCCTTCTGTACATTAAAATTTTAAAATGTCAATGTTTAGCACTATGTTATATTGTATTACGTTACTTGATTCTATCATCTCTTCTATTAATTATTTGCCTTCACAACTATCATGAGTCACATTTTGTTTTATTTAATTGGTGAATTAGGTTTGATGAAATTATTATGAAGAATTTTGCTAATGCTTCTGGTATTACATATCATTATGAATTCCTTTTTTTTTTTGTATGGTTATACTAGTTTTATCAAATGCTTTTTATGTTTTTCTTCATAGTGATCTAATATGCATCAGAGATAGCTTAGGTAGGATAAGATTGATGCCACTGAATTCTATAACTGGCAATGTCTGCCAAAAAAGTTAATGTAAGACAATGCATCTATCCAAGCGGATCATCAAAGTTCTTCATTTATTATATGCGTAGCTACAGTATCTTCCTGGTTTTGAGCTTTTCATTTTTAAGGTGTCTAGTGATCAAAATATATGGTATATTCAGTTACCAAGGTAACATACAAATGAATGTATTCTACTATATTTGTCCACATATTTTCATGTGCAGTTGGCCTATTATTTGCAAATGGTCAAACTTGGATACTAATTTTTAAAGTAGCCATTAAGTGAAATGGGTGCTTATTTGTCACTATGTAGTTAGGATGGTCAAGTTATGAATGTTGCTTATTTCTGATTCGGTTACCTTCTCTTGGTATATGGGTTACATAAGCTTCTGACTACTAACTTTACCCATCTTTGCATATCTTCATGTATTTATTTGCTAGAAGCTTTCTAGTTCTAGATTTTTTTTTACCTTTGAAGTGCCTAATATATTCTTTGTTAACAGGCCATGGTGGATAAAATGAAGGAATATCATGCAGCGGCGAAGCGTCTTGATAATGCTCGCCTTGTGAGTATAATTTGGGAGTAATTTTACTCCATTCTGTGAATTATAAGATGAAGTATGCCATGTTTGTTGTTTAATGT